TATTAGCTACATAAATCTTTAATATATCTAAAATTAAATAACTAGTTTATTTATGTCAAATCTATATCTATAACCTCAAATACCTAATTTAAAACAATTAATTGATTTATATCGAGTCGGTAATATAGTGCATATATAGTTTAAGGCTCCTAATTTCAGAGCATCAAAAAAACAAAAAAAACAACGACTCAAAACGTGTCATTAAAACATTTGTAGAGTTAGATGAAACCGAATTCGAACAATTAGGTTCTAATATAAGTATTTTAAACGAATTATTTAAAATAATAACTGATTGTATTTAAAAATTATAATATTCCAGTAATTGCAAAGTATTAAAAAGTTATTCAGTGTACCTGAAGTTTTTAATATTTGACTATTGTTGTTAAACGGAAAACATAATGACTTTAGCTGGTAAGGAAGTCAAACTGCTTAAGTTGAATTCTGTTTAGGCCTATTCCTTCATGGTTCTGAATAAGTAAACGTTATCTGTTTATTAAGCCAAAGACGCAAGCTTTATCTTGTAAGTTCAATAATAACCAAAAATAAACTATTTCCTATTTGTTCTATTTATAGCAAAACTACATTGGATTATCTGTTGTGTTCACCGCGGGAAATCGAACCTCAGATTTTAGCGTTCTAAGACCTTAGACTTACTGCTACCCCACCGGGGGACTACTATTTCCTAACATCAATCAAACAACATACTATGGTAAGCTATACTTTTAATGTTATAATTTAGTTGTTTGCTAAAGGGAGCCGCTAATCATGATGATGGTGTCAAGATCTGGAAAATTCATGATGATGCAATAATAGAGACGCTTCCTAGAAATAAAAGTGCGATATATATATATATATATATATGAGTAATAATTGAATGATGAAGTCAGTTCAGTGAAGTAATCAGTGAGTGATTTAGCTTAGTGCCAATCAGTTAGTTCAGCGTAAGAAAAGTTATTCAGTCTTACAAGTGAGAGTTATCGCGTCTGTTTTATTATTCAGTTACTTGATCGATTAGTTGGTTTGTTTTCAGAGCAAAGCAACATTGGGCTATCTGCTGTGTCCATTGCGGGGAATCGAACCCCAGATTTTGGCGTTGTAAATCCGTAAACTTACCGCTGTACCACCAGAGGACCGATCGATTAGCTATGGGAATCGAAAAGCACGTTTATAAATACGTTAGACTTACATTCGTTTCGAAGTTTATGTTGAAAAGTTTTATGTATTTAAAATGACGCCTACAAGTTAATGTGGTTGTAGCAAACGTTTATTGAAGAAATAAATGAATTCATTATCGTTGCGTTGACTGGACTTGGCATTATTTTTACCATATATTCCAAAAGGACCCGCCCAACGATAAAATACGTTATAACAATATGCGTGTTATATTGAGAAAACAAATAACACAAGAACTTATTTCATATTGAATGACATAGACATCTATTGCTGTTTCCTGTTGAACATCATCAAATTTTCACAGCTCTTAAGATATCAATTATAATGATTGTGTGTTACCTGTAATTTCATGTAATGTGTTTTGATAACTCATAAGTAGTAGTGCAAGTCCTTGATGTTCATCCAATGAATATCACGACTTAACAGTGCATGGTTGCATTTATCTACCATGCCATCAGAAGATGTATGAAGGGCTATTGTTCTGGTCTTTCTGTTTTCAAGAAACTGACATATTTCTGCAAACAAAGCTGAATCAAAGTTTCTTTCTTGGCCTGATTGGAGTTCGATTGGCATCCCAAATCTTGAAACAAATTCATCAACGAGTTGCCTTTCTAGAATTTCTGCTTTCCTGTTAGAAACACCATATGCTTTTGGCCATTTGGTGAAATAGCCTACCAGAACCATGATGTACTGTATGTATTATCATTGATACTCTGTGGTAGAGGACTAAGCTCATCGACATCAACTCTTTCAAGTGATGTTCCAACATAATATTGATGTAGTTGCCCATGCTGTTTCTTTCATGGACCTTTACATTCACAGTATTTACACCA